CCACAAAGGAGGCCACACCCACAGAGTAGGTTCGAACAATTTTTGAAACCCACCACTGGTTCAAAGAATGGAGGCCTTTGAACTCTGGTGCTGGAGAAGACTCTTGCAAGTCCCTTGGACTGGAAGGCGATCCAACCAATCAGTCCTAGAGGAGATCAACCCTGACTCCCGAATAAACCTAACTATCAAATCCAATTCACCCCATATCTCTAATCAACCCAGGATTCTGACTAGAGGCACCAAGGATCAAGCTCAAATTATCCTACTTTGGACGCATGAGGCAAAGGCCCAGCTCTTCCGAGAGAAAGCTCTTATGCTTGAAAGGTGTAAAGAAAGAGAAGAAGAGGAAGGTCAGCAGAAATGTTGATGGACTCAGTTACAGTGGTCTTGAGCATAGTCTGGAAGGTGGAAGTGGCATTACCTGAAGACAGCAGAAGAAAGACCTGGAGAAGATAATAAAATGCACAGGCCTGCAAACAGAAATAGAATCACTTGTGGCAAAAGAAACGACAGGTAATATCAATACTAATAGGTGCCTTGGGTATACCTCAATCTGATTTAAACCTCGTTTAAATAAAAGTTTAGTTCCTAATTTATGCTAAATTAGTCAAGTAATATCTGAGAGTCAGTCCTAGAGGAGATCAACCCTGACTGCTCTTTAGAAGGCCACATCTTGAAGATGAAACGCAAATACTTTGACCACCTAATGAGAAGGAAGGACTCACTGGAGAAGAGCCCAATGCTGGGAACGAAGGCCTGAAAGAACGTTGTCCATGGGTTGCAATGAGTCGGACATGACTTTGCAACTAACAACCACAACCACACAATGAATCACTCTAGAGCTCATGATGGTCCTTCTTTTCAGGAAGAAACTCTTGCCTCATCCCACTACTCAACACCGGTTGCTATCATCCTGAAATGTCTGCAGGCATGTATTATGTATATCATCACAAACACCTTTGAGTCTCCTTGCTCAGCATCAATTAAACATTAAATGCAAGCTCACTTCATGGGTACTTTCAAAGAGAAAGGTGGACTGACAGCTTTGTGGCTTCCTCTCGAAGGAACCGCTGAGACTTTTTTTTTTTTAGCATACCAAAAGAAAAGAAAAAAGGGAAAGAAATGCTCAGAACATTAATTAAGGACACAAATGTTGCGGTCGTGTAAGCAATTTTATTTCATTTTGTTTTTGTAGCAGGAGAGGGAAAATTAGGTAAGGAGAAATGAATTTTGTTCAGTGTATTAAAATTCCTTGAAAAAGTCATGGCAATTAAAGAGATATGAACTTTTAAGTACAGATGCTGGAGAAATAGCTTTAAAATCCACAGAGCCAGAAAATCAGAGGTGGTATTCTGCCAGTTCAGACCAGTTCATCTAAACAGGTAGCGGAAATAGTGAGTGTCCTGCCCACCTGCCTCGGCTCTATTGCATCCCATTTAGGCCCTTTTGCAGCAAAAAGTGCATCCGCCAAAGGCTGAGCACCTGTGCGGATGTGGCGCGTGTGAGTGAAATGAGTGTGCACGCATGCACTCAACATTTACAAACCAGTAGGGAAAGTAAGTGAATGCCACCCCTGCAGAGAACGTTCTGGTTGTACTCAAGTCACTCCAAATTCTGCTTGAATATGTCTCCACATATGTTTCTGAACCCCTTCAATTCAGTTCATTTTTGCAGGGCTTTGCAAAATTCACACGCGGCTCATCCATATCGTGGCAGTGTCCTTCATGACACTCTCTGTTCATCACTATTAAGGCAAAGGCTTCCCCTGTCCAGTTGTGTCCAACTCTAGGGGGCAGTGTTGTTCAAAGACAATTTGTGCAGTCATGTGGCCAGTATGGCTATTCACCAAAGGCGCATGAAACACTGTTGCCTTCCCACCAAAGTGGTACCTATTTATCTACTTGCAGTTGCATGCTTTCGAACTGCTAGGTGGGCAGGAGCTGAGGCAAGGAATGGGAGCTCATCCTGTTGTGCAGTGCAAGGCATGATGCAGTTTTGCGAGAGAAATGGCTGATTTCCACTACAGGAATTTCATTCCATTTTCATTTTCTGGCCCTTTTTCCTCGGATTTAGCTTAGAATATTATATTGTCATAAGGGTGGCTCAATGGCTAAGAAACTGAGCTTGTTGATTAGAAGGTCAGCAGTTCATCGGTTCGAATCCCTAATGCTGCATAACTTGTTGTGAGCTCCCGTTACTTGTCCCAGCTTCTGCCAACCTAGCAGTTTGAAAACATATAAAAATGCAAGTAGAAAAATAGGGACCACCTTTGGTGGGAACAGTGTTCTGTGCTCCTTTGGCATTTAGTCATGCCAGCCACATGATTACGGCGACATCTTCAGACAACCCTGGCTCTTTGGCTTTGAAATGGAGATGAGCATCTCCCCCTAGAGTCAGGAACCACTAGGACATAAGTGCGAGGGGAACCTTTAACTTTACCTTTTACAATGGAGATTTAAAAAGTGTCTCAAGCAACAAATGCTGGCAGGAAATGCATTTATTTAGAAATTGGAAAATGGATCTATAAGCTGCTACGTTTCCGTGCAAGATTTGCTGTCTAAGCTAAGCTAGAGAAGACTTGGAAGATGGCAACATCTATCTGATGCTGGATTGTAAAAGCTAAGCAGTCTCAAATTAGGTCACTACTTCAGTGGAGGACAGAGGAAGGATTCCAAGGTGGTTGGTTTAAGTGGAAGAAGGCAACTTCGGTTGGAATGACAAGGCTGAAGTCAACAGAGTAAAACTTGACTTCAGATCTCCTTGCTGAAAACAGGAGAAGCTATTGGATTGGGACCTAGTTGCCATATGCTAGACTGTATGTGCAATACACAGATTAAGCTTTCTTTTTCAGCTCTATGGTGGAAATCTTTTTCTTTCCTTACCCCAACCCAATGTCCATTAGATGCTAAATTCACAGATGATTGCCCAGCCGATATCGCAAATTCTATCATGCCACTGGCCATTCGGGTGCATTTCCACACACTTTTCGTAACCAGGATTATTCGGTTCTCCTGGAGCCCAGTTGAAAAATTGTAGAGAATGGCCATTGAGATCTTTAAACTTCTTTTCAGCTGTGCTGTACATGGTTCCCAGAATGGCCCGTTCGTTACGCTGTTCTAATATTTTTTTGAGGGCTTCGTTCTCTTCCGGATTCCTTGGCAAGGCAAGTTTGCCATTCATGTGTGCGCAGTTGCCGGTAGCGGCCTGGAAATCTCCCTTAGAGTCACTTCTTTTGAACATTTTGTCACCCACAAGCATTCCATTGGGAGCCAGGGTAGCTAGAAGGAAAGAGAATAGGAAAACATTGAAATATGCTCTGGAGGCGTCTTTAGTGCCTGGGAAAATGGGAGCGGGCATTTAGAATAGAATAGAATAGCAGAGTTTGAAGGGACCTTGGAGGTCTTCTAATCCAACCCCCTGTCTAGGCAAGAAACCTTACACAACTTCAGACAAAATGTTCAAAAGAAGTGACTCTAAGGGAGATTTCCAGGCCGCTACCGGC